ATTCAAAAAATAGTAAATTGGGAATTTCTAGAAAATATTTTTAATTGTATTCCATTTCATATTTGTCCTGATATTAGTTAGAGTAAATTAGAGAAAATGCTAGAATATATTATTACATTATATTATTAGTAAAATACAAGAAAAGTTCTTCTACCGTTTACTGTAATATGTCCAATGCTCCGCATTACGCATCTTACATTTATCAGTATATTATATTATCAGTATACAAACAAATAATTAAGACTTATTTATTTTTTATAAACTTAATATTTACACTGTCTTATAAAAATAAATCAAATTTTTATCTGTAAATTAATATGAAAAACTTATTATTTAGAGGTGGATGGAACAAGTTTACACCTTTGAGCTTTATTTAATTCTCTAAAGAAAATATTCAACATAAAAACTAAAAACTTGATATAATTACTACTTTATCAACTGTTAAAATGTTAATTAATTAATAATAATTATTTCTTAAATAAAAATTAGTAAAAAAAAAAAAAAAGTCAATTTCATCATTTGTCCGGGGTCATATGATTTTTTTTTTTTTTTTGAGGCAAGTTTGCAGACCTCAGCTAAATTCACGGAGTCAGCTCCTGTCCCGTAAAGAAATTTCGGATTTTTACACAAAATTTTTTTTGGTCAATTAAATAACTTAAAACAAAAAAAAATTATTTAAATATAATAAAAATATTTTTCCTCAATTTATTTTTATTCAAAATTACACTCTAGTAAGTCATTCACTTAAATAGGAATTGAATTTATTCACGATGTTTAATTTAGCTAAAACAATAAAAAAAATTGTTCTTAATTATTCCGCTTAAGTTAAAACCTTAGGTCGTAAAACAAAAATATTATATTGTTCTTGCAAACAAGGTACAAGAGCAATATAAAACAAAAATAAATGTGTCATTCGAATTATTTTTGAAAAATTTGTCATTGTTTCGTTAATTAATATATACTCCCATAAAAATTTTGCAATATTACTATATTTTTTAAAGTACTCAATCATCCTAAATAATAATCCAAGATCAAATAAAGCTGATATATTATTGTCAGCTGATATATTATTTCATGAGAGTAAAATTATAATAATGTTTAAAATTCATAAAAAACATCCTTCTGTATACATATCATACAAAAGTCTTTTTGAACTTTTAATATTGTATCTACTAGATTTAATCGAGTATATAATATAATTGAATGTAAGAACATTAATCGATTTGTTCCAATATTTTGGGAAAAATTGAATATCCGACTAACATACTCAATATTATTTAGTTCAAAATATTATTAAACATAAACGATGTAATGTATCAACTGGAAAAACGATAAGCGTTATTCTTAGATGTAAGATTGCATATGTGCTTAAATGCATTTGGTTGTCTTTGGCATGTTAAAGTAAAATATTTTACCCTGAAGTAATGCCTAACGTCAGTTCTAAGTAGGTCCACAAAATAAGCCGGTGCTTGGAAAAATAAAATAAAATAGTTAAATACTTTTTTAACAGACTTAATACACTTTCTTAACTTAAACCATCAATAATTATTTTAATATTTGTTTAAATAATTTTACCCTAATTTACAATATTATTTATTATTAATTTATACTACATGGCTATTTAAATATTTTTTATTTTTGTAAACAACAGAGTGCTTCAATAAAATACAGTAAAATTTTGGAAAGAATGGAGCTGATAACATTTTTACAGGTAGGGAGTTTACTAAAATTTAACAAAATAATGTCCTGGCAAAAAAAATTAAATAATGATTGATAAATTAAAAAAGATGTACCTAAAAGAAACCAAAACACAATTCACAATATTATTTTTATATTTTGATGAATTAAATGGTCATGATAAATTAATCACAATTTATCAGTTTGTATATTTGATGTTTAATTATTTTACACAAGTGATCGAAATTTAATGGGACACTCATTTTCTCAGATATTAAAAAAAATGTTTAATTTTAGTTAAGAGAAAAAATATTAAATTTAAAAGTCTGCAATAATATGAAATAATATATAGTTAAATATTATTTATTAATTTCTTCAAGGTTAAACACCTTTAATCATTTTAAACGCAAACGGTTGATAGGATTAAAAAAATATAAAAACATAATTAATTGTAATTTGTTTTTAAATTATATTATCAAAATAAAAATAAAGGTCATCAATTAATAAAATTAAATTTAAAGAATTTTGAATCCTGAAAGATCGAAAAAATAAATTGTTTAACTATATATTATTGCAGTTTTTAAAATCAAATATTTTTTCTCTTTGTTAAAATTTAAAATTTTCATTTACTTCTGAGAAAACAAATTTCGAACACCTATATTTAAAACAATTTGCTTATAATTTATTGAACTACCTCAGTCCCGGAAAAAAATAAAACTTAATAATTATCGTAGAGCATACCTTCGGGAACCATAAGGTAGATTTCCCTTATAAGTATTTTTATACTTTAATTTTTTTTAACAATTATTGACTTTAAAATATCACGAAGTATTTCTGCCAAATTTGAAGTTTTTATGAAGAATAATTTTTAGAGAAATTCAAATAAAGCTTAAAGATGTTAGCTAACCCCATCCCTTCCTATGTTGCCATTAATATGTTCTAAAATTCTAATGCTTATAAGAATATAAATATTAATTAGTTTATTGTTTACACAAAAAAAAAAAACATTCACAAAACAATATTTAAAAGGATCTTTGGATTATAATTTGCACAATTGTCACGATTGAAAGTATTGTTTTTATATATGTAAAGATGGAATCAATGATGACTAAGGTTTATTAGGTAGCTATGTCACTTTTGTAATTATATTTCTAGGAGCACATTTTTTTTTTTTTTTTGTACAGTTTCGTGCAAAAAGAAATATGTAGAGAAGAAATAATGGAGTAAGCAAATTATATTTTATTATCATCACGAATTCGTAAAATAATTATAAACTATTTACAAAAATAATAAAAATAACATTATGATATACTATTTTTCTAAGCTCATTATTAGCACACTGTTTATTTTATGGCATACTTAGTACGTGTTGTATAAAATAATATTGTAGCTTAATTATTTCCAATATTATGCTGATTATAAATAATACATTATCATATTTTTCAATAACATGAATACACTATTTTTTTTTACAAAATATTAATGGCATAAACGATTTGTAGGCAATTTTAAAAATATATTAAATAAACTTTAGACATTCTATTTTCATGTAAACTTAAAATTTATTAAAAAATTACCATTTCTAAAATTATTGCAAAATTAAACAAATTTCAAGATACTGACTTTAATATTCAAAAAGATACAATTAAACTAATAAATTAAAAATAAAAAATATTTTTATAATTTTTTTTTTTTTGATTAAATGATTATATCAAACAAAAACAACTGTCACTTAAAATTAAAAAGTTTAATCACTCTGAAAATTTTTACTGATAATTATTTATGCATATAACATTTATGTTTATTTTATCAAGGATACTATAAATCGGAAAATAAAATTATTATTATTATTTTATATATAACTATTATGTATATATTTATTGGATTATGCAGGCAAAATTATAATAGACGTATTATATATTTTTAATATTAACTTTAAAATATCAACTCAAAATTGTACATAAATATCTAACAGAACTCTCCTCGTAATTTATCAATAATTAATTTGCAACATTTTTTGTATCACATTTCTCTATTATAATATTACAATCATCACGCTCAAAATTGATTGGAAGTTTACACAAAATGTCATACAACTAGAAAATCAAATAAAATTATTTCGTAATTTATTAATCTTTTAACTTTATTCGTGTGTGTTACTACCAGTCTATAATATTCCAAAATTTTTGGTTAATTGTAACTATATAAATCTTTTTAAAAAAAAATTATTTTTAGTTTAACCTGATTTTAACAATGGATTTATACAATTATAATAAATTTAATAATGCGTATAATTAAGTAGATTTTTTTAATACATTTTTGATTGGTTTTTCTGTTATAGTAAATCATTGAAACTAATTTACTTAGGTCTATATCAATGTATTTTCATTTGAAATTCTATAATATAGTAACACGTTTCAACATATTAACTATGATTTACACCTTTTGAATTTTACTCAGTTCAATAATTAAATGTTTACTGGTTATTTATTTGTATTATTACGGGTACTTACCACTTGGGTTATTTATAATATCTCTATAAAAAGAACCTTAATTATTTCTTTTTATATCTACTTGTCTTTATTGCTCCACACCCTCAGACTATACAACCCCCATATAACCTTGTTGCTCAATTATTGATCAAATCTCCAAACTTTAATTAACATTTAACAAACCCCATATTACAACCGCATTTTTATATTATTACAAGATCAACTTCTCTTGTACTCTCCTACATGTTTATACGATTATAGTTTTCGTTTTACTACCCATTAAATTATACCTAAAAATATTCATTTACATGTAATTAGATCATTTTTATTAGATATTTTTATTTTATTAGATAGCGATTTTTTTATATCTTAATTTTAATGAAAATTAGAATTCAATATCATTTAATATGTTTTTATGTTAAAATACACACGTATAAATTTTTTTAGTCAACAATAAGTTTATGACATATCAACGACCTATTTAAAAAAAAAAAACATTTTAACTTAAGTTAAAATATAAATATGATAAAAAATTCATGTTACAATCAATATTAAACTTAATGCAAACATACGCACTTGTATTTTAATTTAGTACTGAGCTTATTTAGCACTCATTACTTATTACGTATTACGTTTTATATATTATTATTATTAATCTTTTATCCCATTATCTGTTTTTTCTTTACACTTTTAATTTAAAAACATTATGGTTTTTAAGTAAAAGTTAAGGAAAAAACCTTTATAATATTTATCTAGCCACTAAATTATACTTAAAGAATTACTATTTCACTGTATACCTATTTTTGCAGGTGCGCTAGATTACTTTGCATTAGCTTCAATGCGAAGCTGAGAACATATTAATTTTGGTATAATGTTTTTTTTTTAATGTTTGTGTCTGTTTCCTATTTGATTCAGTTACTCCTACTAAAATGATACTCTTTAAAAATACGTCAAAATATTACGACAATTTAAAATATAAAAATTATTTATTTTTTTGCATAAATCTTAATATTCTTAAAAAATATTATGAAACAAAATTCCATAATTACTATGATATATTAAAGACATTTTTGTCATATAATTATTTTTGTGTAGATGCTAGAGGCAGAATTACATAAGTACGGAGAACTTTTAGAAAAAGCAAATACGTTAGGTCTTCAATTAATGAAAAATAGTAGCCCTCGTGATGTAAAACGAATTGAAGAAATGATAGACGAATACAAAATGTTGTAGAAAGATATCAGCTTCCGCATTAACAAATTAAAAATAACTTGTGTCGTGGAAACTTCACGTGTCAAAAAAGTATTATTATTAATATTATAATTAATTACTGCATCTAAATAACAGTTCATATAATAATGTATTTTATTAGCGGTCGGTAAATGAAGAAATTCAATAATATCTAATTAAAGGCATTATCTTAAAATTAGAAAAATATAATAAAATTAACGCCATGTCATCGATGTGCGCTATGCCATAAATATTGAGTAGTGTTGGTGCGTGAAAACGATTCGTTGTCAGGCATAANCCATAAATATTGAGTAGTGTTGGTGCGTGAAAACGATTTGTTGTCAGGCATACGCTATTATTTTAGCGGGAAATAGTACCCCTTGAGATTTTGTGACGTCACATCGTCCCTTACTATGTTCACCGTATCGATTGCGATACACCGTTGTCTCTACTATACATTTGTATCAAGTAGGAAATACCCACAAAAGCGCACTCTTACGGCAAAACTAACCGTCATCCATAACGGACACCGTGACGAATCAGAACTATCATTTCAAAGTATAATGCATGTCTCTCTACGAAAATTCAAGCTAAACTGCTATTTCGATTATTTGCTATTTAATGTTTAATACGATTGTAATCGCAAAGTTTCTTTGAATAGACCGTTAAATTAATGTCAGTATCATAATTCATTGTAATTTAAATAAAAATACTTTAATGATTACATAAAATACTTCATTTAATTAAATTATTCATATTCACTTTCAGATATAACATACTATTCTATACAAATCTATTAAGCGTAATACATCGTAATATCGATACCTGGGAGAAGACAAACTTCTAAACTCCTTTCTCCCATCAAAAATCCATCTCTAACATGTATTATGATTGTTTTAAAAAAAGAAATTTCATAATAAACGTATGCATGGTTATTGTTTGGCTATAACTCACTAAATATCTATGCAATATAAAATAACATTGATGTGTTACATAATTTATTAATAAATTTCTGAAAATATATTAATAAGTGAATATTAATTATATATGTGTTAAATAGTATAGTAAAATTCTAGACAATTTTTAATGAGTGAACAATTAAAATCTTATTCTATACTCTTATAAATTGATAAAATATCAAATTCAAACTTTCTAATTTCTAAGCATCCTCATAAAGATATATATCTTCATAAAGCTTTACAAATGCAGATTAAATTGAAAAAAAATTCAAACTAAGTTTAACTATATATTCAATTTGGATTATATTCATACAACTTTTTTGAAAATTGGTGATCCCATCATCGGTTATCAATAGAATCGTCAATTTTATTACGATTAATTGTAACAAAATAAACTCTAAATAAGCAAATAATTATATAATTATATCATTAATTGTTTGCTTAGATTTTAGTAGCGAATTTTTTTAATTTTACATTGTGTTTTTAGTTTATCGTAAGCCACTCAATTACAGGAAAAATTAACTTGTTACCATTATAAAATATAGACCGGTTGAGAGTCTATTATATCACTAAAAATTTCTAAGCACTCTTTTTCTCCTACTCATGTATAAAAATGTGAAAAGCATTCATGGTCCAAAAGTCGTTATTAACCCATCATTTTCTTAATTAGATCATATCTTATTTTATAAACTAATTGAATATATATGTTACCATTGAAAAAAATAATGTTAACACTCCAATAAGTTATAAGGGATGATGATAAAAGTAATTAATAACTGATAGATAGTAAAATATCTGTAACTAAAAAAAAACTATTATATTTAAACATTTATTTATATATATATATTTTTATTTTGCGAATAATTAATGGCCCATGTTGACGGTTCTCCTTATGAACGTAGAACATATCAAAAAATTGTTTACAATGAAGAGAAAAAATGTGTTTATTGACGTCTTGATTGCAAGGTCGTCTAGTGCAAAAAGCAGGTCAAATAAACTTAAATCACGCATACGGTTACTGGATTTCATTATTGTTATGGCCAAGTTTAAAAAACTTACTCTTAAAATAACACGCGAAAAAAACTTTTCGTCTTAAAAATATAAGTTTTCTACCCTAACTGTTTATGTCAAAATGAACGTGTTTACAAAAACTTGTATACGCCATTGGGTTAAATACTCGGGAAGAATTAAAATAAAATAAAAATCGCTAAGGTATTCAATGCGAATAACGAAAAGTAAACTAAATTCAATTGTAATCAAGTAATCGGAACGAAATAAAAAAATAATTTAAGCGAATACGTTTCCAGAGTGTTGGCGCAATTGGTGTTTTCTTATTTACACAAATATATACATATTTTGTGCTGGCGAAAATCAACAACGGTGGCATCCGACGCCGCCGGTAGTTGGCGTTATGCGCGCGATGCCCGTTGGCCCCGGCGACGAATGTTCAGTACGTTCAATCGGCTCGCCCGGCCGAGTCTTGTGTTACCGCCATAGTCACCCTCCCCGCCCTCCCCTTATTCCGCAGCCACCGCCGACGGCAATGATTGCGCCGAACGGAATTATGCGCCAGGTAAATATAATGTTTTCTTTACGTGGTTTCATCACGTCACGTTAGTTTTTTGTGCACTTGGACGTCTTTGTTAGTTTAACGATCACGTTTGATAACACCATTACGCATCATTCGAGTGATAAGTTTAAAACGCATAGTTGATAACATTGGCGGCGGTCAATTTTGTAGAGCGAGCGCCGTCGCATTCACAATAAAAATACTACACTGTGCAGCTCGTAATACTGGCGCGTACCGATATTGCCTATTGTACCCGCCGTTTGATTAAATGAGTTTATTATTTTACACAAAGTTTTATTAAAATATTTTAATACAAGTCGACATTATAAAAGAAGTAATATTTCAATCTAAATAAAATTCATAACTTTGACATAGCTTCATTGATTACTGTTATTGATTAAGTCTACTAGTTTATTTCTCTTAAATTTAAGTAAAAATACTCAATCATGATTTATAATTTTTTAATAAAAAATACTCGTTTGACCAAACATTAAGTTACATTCAAGAATTTAATTTGTATAAAATTACAAATTTTAGCAAAATAATCTATTACCTCGCTGTGATTTTAACAACATAATTGATTGGCTAACATCACACCTAGCCAAATAATTATAATAATAAAGATCATAATTTAAATGAATTTCTCTTATTAATTCGTTCGGGTAAAATTGAAATTAATAAAAGGTATCCATTCAAAATAATTATAATATTGTCTTAATATTTTAATATACTACCTGAAAAAAAAATTTCATTTTAAGTTGTAAAAATAAAAAATATATATAAATTACAAGGAGAATTTTTTCTTAATTAGATGAAGTCATATCATACCCCAAGGGTGTAGGTCGTGGACAGCTGAATTAGGTCATTACCTCTGCATGCTAATCCGCGTCAGTTGTTTTTACAACAAATAGAAGTTGTATACAAACGTGTAGTACAACGTAGTAGAATACAATTATATTAATAACAGCAATTTAATGCAAAATGATTTTACATGCGAATAACTTTCAAAACTGTATTAATTATGAATATATAAACATTTTCATAAAATAAAAATGAAACCAAAATAAAATTTCAAGTTTAACACAAAAAATTAAAGTTACATTCTGTTGTGACTTATTGACTTATTACGTAGAGCTTTAAACTTATCATATTTTTCAATTTATTAAAATGTTTTTTACTCTCTATTTAAGTATTTCTTATTTAGGGAATAAAAGTATTTGTTTATGTTTTACGCAAACAACTCTAGGAAATTTACATTATAATTTGTATAAAAATAGATTTATTGTGCAATATAACAACACATATTTCCAAATTAATCAATCTTCATGTGACATAATATTAATAAAACGTAATTAGATAATCAAAGTACAACGAAAAAATTTAATCAAAAAAATTTTTTGTAGGAATAATAATTTATGTGATTATTTAACAAAAAATGTATTTATCGCCAATATATCTTTTAAATGTGATCATATCTTATTCAATTCATTAAAAACTAAAGAGTATACCTTAAACAATTTTTTCTAAATGTTTTTAATTCATAAAAATAAATTTTCTACTTTGAAAATAATGATTAGATATTTCTAATAAAACCCTATACTAATACCCTTAGATGTGTAATTCGTAATGCGAAGATGGTGTATTCCGAATGTTCAATGGTCCCAGTTGGTACTTTGTGCAATTGTACTGTTCCTTCTAGGGAGCTTACATATTTACAGAGGTCCAAATGGAGGATTATCAACTTTGGACGACCCTGTCGTCGGCGAGGATACTTCCACACTACCGGACTACAGAATGTATCAAAGGCTAAAGTTTCAGAAAACTACCAGGAGATTGCCTCAGGTAAGTTTTATAATGTTTTATAAATACGACACGTAGGTTATATTTTTAACTTCCCTTACGATATATGTGTTCATAATGCATTTCAAAACAAAATTATTAAAAAGTATACAAATTAGTTTCAAAACTTCACTTAAGTACTTTTTGAATTTTAATCAAAGAATTAAGTATTATGTTATCACATTGTGACTCTTTTAAGTTCTTTTAAAAGGTAAGTACATAATCGGAGACAAAGACAGCTGTAGATTATATAGAATTATGGTTGATTTTTAAGTACGCCTAAAGATTTAACTTGTGAAATTTAAATTTATACAAGTTTCAAGTGTATTTTTGCATTTTCTATCTTGAGAAGTTTATGAACTTTGGGTAAGCAAATAAAAGAATTGAAGGACTTTTACATGAAAGATTATTAATGGTTTCTTGTATTTATTAAATTCACCCGTCATTCTTTACTCATTTTTAAATAATTATTTTATATATAATAAAAAATATTCTAAATTGAGCAAAATTTTCATAATAGTTTCTACTGTACAATTTATGTTTTAAAGCGTACTGATTATAACAGTTAAAACGGTTCTGAAATATTTTTAACAATAACTTAAAGTAACCAGTTTTTATTATGACATAATAACTTTATCATTTTTTTTCTTAGAACAATAGGTAAATCGAATCGCAAATCTAATAGGTTGTGTCCCACACCAAATTTTATAATAAATATTTTCTCTTAAGTTACCATAACGGCTTCTAATAATTAATTTCTAGATAAAATGTAACTTTCATTTATAGAATTTTCTAAAAGTATAAGTTTATAAATAGGATGAACATAAAAAATGTCACACAAGTTTTAACATTCTTCATAACATTTTATTCAGCATATATTTTGTTTTTTAAACAATTTTTATAGTATTGCACTATATTAAAACATATCCTTTATATTAGCCTTTAATACGAGAAAGATAAATAATATTTTTCAAATAAAAAAGTAACACAATAAATTTTATGGATCAAAATTTTTAAAGATATCAAAACATGATGGACACTCTGTATTTTATGGGCTATAGATTATGATTTAATTGAAAAATATAAGGAATAATAGTCATATTCTTATGTATAGTCTTCTGTGTATTATTACAAGAGATATATTATTAAAAAAGACAAAATTAAATAATAAGAGTATTTAATCAAACTCAAAACTATTTGAAGTAATAACTAATTATAGAAAAATTTTAATGAAAAATAACCATATTTCACATGGTTGATATTCATATAATATCAAAGTTATCAAAAATTTTTTTTAAATATTTGAACCAAAAAATGATCCAATGACTTCTAATGTTATTGCATTTTTATGATTTTTTGTATATCTATTTTTCTCAATGTTTTTGCATAACTATCGATTATTAATGTATCTTGTATTTATATTGCTTCTCAATGTTTTATTTGTATTTCAAAGACTAAAAATGATAACTCTCCTAAAAAAAATTCTATAAAACTATAATATATTTGGCTCATTTAGACCGTCAAGTATTAAATTTATTACTTCTAAATATAATTCTATAGTGTTTGTAAATTCAAAAACATAAAATTGGATGATTGCTTAACTTTTATTCGACTATCTCCTTACTTTAATCGAAATATTTAAAGCTAAAAAGATAAATTTTGAAGTTTTTAATTTTTTACATGTTGACTAATTTATTTTACAATAATGTAAAATATAATAAAAACAAGTTAAATAAATTTTGTCATCTGTTGATGTTTTTCTCTTGATCGTTTCCGAGAATATTCTCCAAATAGATTATTCGGTAATATTACATTACTAATTATAGCGTGTCAATTGTTAATTTATGGTACTCAAATACGCATTTTACTGTAACACTTGAAATTTTTGATGAATTACCATTAAACATTTTTAAATAATATCTGTCGATAAGTATGTTTGCAATATTTTTACGTTACCACGAGCAACAATATAAAAACAAACAAACTGTACAAAATTGTCTTTATAATTAGCAGTATAGCTAAATAATAATTAATAGAGACCGAAAATTACTGTCAAATATAGATATCTGCAGTTTTTTGATAAAATTTCAATATCGATATTGTATTGAAATATCGCAATATTATCGATATTGATATTACATTAGATTTTGTGTTGATTCTGAATCGTCTATTTTGAACATCAACATTACTCGAATTCTTGAATCTATTGATGTAAACCCTAAATAGTTAATGGCACCGGTGTCATGTGTATAAAATATTACAATACATAAGTATACAGTCAGCTCAATGAAGATAGTTAATCTTATGTGTCATTAATATATGTTATTGTTTTTTTTTCATGACCTTGAACAACTATGTCGGGTAGATAGTTTTTATAATAGAACTAAATCGTACCTACGACTTACTTTTTATATTTACGATGTATATAAACAATTAATTTTAGCGGATAATATTTTTCTTAGAATATTTTATATTTATTAGTCATAAAACAAAGTATATGTGTCCCATAAAATTTTTCATTCTTAATTTCATATCTGTCTTTTTGTGGTTTTATTTTTCATAGTTAATTTATTAGTTCAGTACCGACTTGTGTAATGCAAATTATATAAAATATCGATAAAACATTTAAAGAATTAAAACGATAACGATGTTCAAATACATATCACTGAATATCCCAAATAATTAATAATTTAATGAAAATGTATAATCAAATTTATCCATGGACAAAAACTTAACAGAATAGAAATACTTGAACCTAACTAAAACAACATCAACTCTAAAATTATACAATAAAATTAGATAGTAATATTTTTTAATCGAACTTAAATAATTTTACAGAATTTTCATATAAGTTTAATAAACTATAATTATTGTATACCTAAATGAAACAACTTTTTGGCGTTTTATAAATATAAATACACTGTATAAAGGCAGTATACTATATTTTCAACACTGCATGGCTTAGAATGTTTTTCTTTAATCAACTTCAGTTACCTACTTCTATTATTAACATATTAAATAACAGACTTCGCCCAAAAATAATACTACAGACATTTTATTAAGTGCTTATAGAGTTTGTTTAAACGGAAAAACTTAACAAAATTTAATTTTTATACAATTTAACTATATTTTCTCATTTACAAGTCTCGAAACATAGTCTATTACTATCATTTTTTGGACTGCATAGTGAATAAATTCATTTAACCTTTTGTATTACTAAAATTTAATATATATATAGTGTATGAAACTTGTTCATTTAAAATAAAATTTATTACTTTTTTTGTTCATGAAGTTTAAATATTTTCTTTTACTTTCACAACAGTGAATAAATTATTTCATCATAATTTAAAATATAAAACAACTTTAAAGAAATAGGACCCTTCTTAATACTAGTAATCAGTCATAACACTCCTGTTTATTTGAGGATTTCGGCTCAACATTAAATTGTTATTACTTCCTGTATTTTCCGCTGGAATAGCTCATTAAGCAACACTATTATTCTATACTTTTCCGCTTGCGTGTAGGGTTATGATTTGTATTATTACAGTAGCTGATAATGTAATTTCTCAGAATACAGCTACTCTAAAGTTTAATTCGATCGTTATAAAGGTTTTTTTTGTTTTTATCAAAGTACCTATAAAATAATGAAGTATCTAAAGTCAAAAGTCGTAGGAAATAACAACAAAAAAATATTTTTCATTTAAGTATACTTGTGTTGAACTTTTCTTCATGTATTATGGTATAGATTGCAATATACTAACTTTCCCCTTTTTTCATGAAATAATAATTTTTTTCATTAAAATTTAATTTAACTTTATAAAATATTATAAATATCAAGTTTTCTGTAAGAGAAAATTATTTATAAGGGTAAATTTTAGGGGTATTTTTCGAACGTTAAATGGGAATCCTTTTTTTTTTTTTTTTTTTGTTTATCAAATGGAGAATAGTCTAAATAAAATTTCAACAGAACGATAACTAGTATTGAATCATTACTTTCTGATTTATTATAATTTTTAGTTATATACAAGTGGGGTGCGCAACTTAGAAGAATTCTTATCTGTATGTTATGGAAAAAATAGTCATGGTGCTAAATATCTTACTACTTTTTATTTATAGCGTATCTTTGAAAAAAAATCGGTCCTGTGAGATCTAAGAAAAAGAAGTGACAGATACGAAAAAAAATTAATTGATAAATTATCACATTTAAGTAAAAATAATTTCTTTTTAACATTACATTGAAGCTAAAAAAAAAATTTCAGCACAGTCGGCATCCTGCGTGGTGAAAATTAATATCTGACATTAATGAACATCATAGAAGGCATTGATACGAATGTGCATAAAAATGACTTGAAAAAAAAAATTAAACAATTTCATATTACACTCATGATGAATGGTTCGTTTTTCTTTTTTTAAATCATTTAGTACGGATACGACACTTTTGTGTAAGAACATCAAATTCCAATCATAATAAGATAGCTGACTAGACTATATCTACCTTGAGCAACGAAAGTATTTGTATCTTCATAGAGGAACAACCAAGGGTCATACTAATTAAAGTGTAATGTAATCGAATAACAAGATTTATTAATAATTAAGTGAAATAATAATATGGATACGAGAGATGATCACAGTATTCATCAGGACGCCATCGTCTTGCTGTAAACATCATAAAATAAGAGAGAGTATGATGGTGAGTTCGACGTTTTACAATTTTTCCTGACTTCTGTGAATGGATTTCAAATCTGAATTTTGCACCAAAACTACTTCTATATCAACTTAAAACTACAAATATTTTCAATCGTCTCTTTTATTTTCTATAAAATATGATTTTTTCTGAAATATGTCATTTTCATCATCTTTTACCAACTATAGGGTTAAATGATAAAAACGTTTATAAGACTTTGTAACCAAAACTATTGTAAAATAAATGGGTCTCTTATGAATTAATAAGTATTAACTAGTAATATTTTTAGAGTATTTAAGTGAGAAATTTAAAACAAAATTCTTAGCATACATATACATAAAGTTTTGAAGTTTAAAAATTACATCAAAGCACGCAAAGGTAGGTAGGCAAGATAAGTGTCGACTACTTTTCGCACGACATCTTCTCAATAGCTTCCTGCAAAAACTTATATGGATACGTTATTGTTAGATCCTGTATATATATGATATCTGTATATATATATAGAATGTTTAATTAATGGTTAACCACTAAATTTCTCCTAAAATAATAATAATTTTAAAAATTGTTTTTTGGTTATGTGTAGAATTATATGATTCTCGATTTACAAATCGTTAAATGATTTTAAAGTCTATCTCTTATTTTTTTATAAAGATACCAACTTAATTTTTTTATTTAATGTTAAAAATGATCCAATTAAAAATGTGACTTGTCGTTAACAAATTTTGAATCAATATTTCAGAAGTTAACAACATTTTTAATGTAAACTGGAGTTTTTGACTAATTTTACCTAGTAAAGGGTCGTTTAATTTGATTTTTATTTTTTAGTTGTATAGTATATTTAGAAATCTCCAGTTTTATATAGGTCAGATGTTCCAAAACATTTTAAAAATTTAGTTAAAAAAAAATTGTAATATTTGTGGGAAGTCTCTTTTATAATTTTTCTATACTTACGTTTTTAATAAGATTTTCAAAAAAGGCACATCAAAAGAAAAAATAAAATTCATTTGTTATACCGTTTTTAAAAAAGGTTATATTTATAATAATTTTAAATTTAAAAAAAAAAAAAAATTAAATCCGCCGTTTTTTACAATACAATTTTTTTTAAATACTTTCACTAATAAAAAAAGTATTTTTTTAATTTTTGATAGCAATATCTTCAACTAGATTTAATTTGGGTTCTTTTAACGTACTAATCAGCTGAATCGGACCAGTGAGAGTTGAGTATTATGATGAGAAATCACGTCATGATGAATCAATACCATCTCAGCTTTGTATCGAAGCTAAAATTTTGTTTAAAAAATATACATAAACTGACATATGAGAAAAGATAACGTAGTGTATTATTTATAACTGTCTCATTTATTTGTGGTTAATTTTATCTGAATGTTTGGTATACATAAATGACAGTCATAAAATAATCATTAAGAAAGATGAAAAACATTTAAATATAACAAGAAATATTATTGTTTTGCAAACAACACAATGGTTAACTTTCTATGCAAATAAATTACTATTACAAACATTAACTTTGCACGTTTAAAAGTAAGTTATAATGTAAATTTTATATTAAAGTAGATAACGAAGCTGTTAAAACTGAAGATATAAATTGTAAAGGATGGTAGTTTTCTATACAGATAATAATAATAACTAAAATATTTCATAAACATTGATTACATCGTAACTACTGAAAGGGTCGATTGTGGTGCAATTGTATAATTTTCATTACTTTTTTAACACATAAAGACAATATTATGATCTATAAGTAAAATAAATAATTAATAATAATATTCTTAGTGACAAAATATGTTAAGTTAACATACTAGTAATTCGTCATCTTGGGATTAGTTTCAACCTAATATTTTTTCGTATCATATTGTAAAATATGTTTAAAAGCTTTGATAATCTTAATTTTCTAATTAGAAACACCAAAGAATTTAATAATAAATTTTTTCTGAAAACTATACAGCATAATCGTCAAACCTTTTTTGGAAAATAATGTTTGGTCATTTGAAATCTTTCTCAGGGTGGTCACATTGAATATGTTAAAAGATGATTTGTACAATACAAATATTTTATAATATTAAGTTGAAACACCAGTAAATATTGTTTTAATTTACCAATTAATAAAATAAAAGATAGTAATAATTTAAATACATTTGTATCAATGCGTAAATATATTGATATTTCTTTTATGCGTAATAACTAACTTTAAGAAAATAAAAAATTGTAAATATGTTTAAATTTAAGAAATTTTATTTTGTTAAAATATAATGTTGTCGTGAACCCATGTTATTAAGTAAATATTTATAAATTATGATAATGATTTTAGTTCATCCTTATGTAATAATTTAAATACTTGAAATTATTGTAAATATATTTATTAATTACCACCAATTCGATGGCATCAAATGCTTTTTGATTGTTAATGAAAGTTGTATAATATAAAAAAGGATCTGACCGACTACTTAGTGTTCCATAGGTAATCATTACATTATAATTATTATTTTGACTCTTTCCGAAGACACTTATCTGCGTAGTCATATCGGACTTTAAGCACCCAGTTTACTACACTATTATAACAAATATTATTCATTCAATCAAAACATTTGTCCTTAAAAAGTTATTGTTGTAATGAAAATCAATTAGACATCTTATAAATGAATTACAAATATACTTTCATATATATAAAAAAATGAACTAAAAATATACCCTTTTTGCTTGAGTAATGAAAGCCTAGCTACCCACCCACTACCAAAAGACAAAAATAACCTTTATTTTATTGATCGGAGCTATTTTAAATTCATTTTTTATATATTGTTGAAAATATTTATAAAAACTATTAATAAATAAACATTGAACAATACCACAGAAACTATAACTTTGCTTAGAAATACATTAATTAAGTTAAAAATAACAAGTTTTATTAAATTTTAATTATGCCAATAATTTATATACGTGTACGTTTTGAACACTTTGATTAAACAAATTGTATGACCAGATATTTATTTCTAAATTAATAAACATTTGTCAAATTTCAACTGGCAATTTATACTAAAAGTAATATTAAATATAGTATCACAGATAATATAAATATTATCTTATCTGTGCTAGTATATTATAAAACATCGTTTTTATATTACAGTAACATTTTACTTTGATAGGTTTCCAAAATAGTATCATTCAATAAATATAAATCATTATACAACGGAATTCGCGTTTTTCATTATAATAAGTTTGTTTCAAAATAAGTTAACTATTCAAAATATTAAGACTACTTTTAAATATTTATTATCTTTAAGATCATTAATGACGTTATTTTTTTTTTATATTTTAAAATCTAAATAAATCGATCAATTGAAAGTGGTCAAAAGTATTTCTTGACTAGTTATTTCCTTAATTGTATTATTTCTTATTTTTTTAAGTTACTTTAATATGTATGTTACAATTTATAAACATTTAATTTCCACTTTTATTACGAATAAGGAATGAACTAAAAAATATGTAATTTAGCTAAAAACTCGAAAAGTATATATAACATTAAACTGTCAGAAATAAATTTCGCAATATTTCAAGAGAAATTTAGTGTTAAACGTTAAATGAATAACTTTGTATATATATATGTTATATATTAAATCTGATCAAATCAATCTATAAATAATATGTTGTTGGCTTAAAGAGTTTTACTTTTTATTTTTAAATTTTTCACTTTTTTTCATACATTTCCCTTCAGGTTGAGATGCCTCATAGTATTCACTTAATAAAATCATGAACAATATATGTATATATATTTGTTCAAATATTAAAACTTTAACTGAAACAAGTTCGAACAACCGTTTTTAGGTTAAGTAAACTATGACAATATACTGAAAAAGACTTTTGACCTACATCATGAAGAAATGTAACACTACTTGACTATACTTGTATATATGTTTATATTGGACATGACGTATAAGTATTTTTGTTCAATCAGTATTTTATTTGGTGGCGTATAAGTGAAATTGACGCACATTTTGTTTGATATAGTAACAAAAACTTTTTTTTTTTATATCTGAAATAAAAACTTAATATCATGATGAACTTTTAGAAATGCAATCTAATTGATATATTTTTAAAAGTACTTTCGTTTCTAGACAGCTAGTAGTTAGGGTTATTTAAGTAATTAATATAAATATGATTAATATTAGTTGATTTATTTCATATCGAGGATGTAAAATTAAAAGTGCATACAAGCAAAATTGGCATTTTTCGATTATTAGACAACTTCAAGTAATATATAAATATTTTTTAATGCGAAAATGGTAAATCCATAACGATTTTAAAAAGTATTTTTTTTTTTTTTAGGAAAAAATACAATCTTTTAACTAGCTACAATAGAAAATAAAGGTTTAATTTTGCTCTCCTTAAAAGTAACGAATTTATTGATACGTTTCCTTAATCCTAGATCCTAATTAGGTAAACTAATTACTTTATTAAAAAAAAATATATATATAAAAAATTTGATACTATTTTCTTAATGTCATTTTAATCAAAATTTGATGACGTCCACTTAATGTTTTTTCGTGTTTCAGGCAATCATAATAGGTGTTCGGAAAGGAGGCACTCGGGCATTGTTAGAAATGTTGTTCATGCACAAATCCGTACAAAAGGCCAATGGGGAAGTGCACTTCTTCGACCGAGACGACAACTACAACCAAGGTTTGGAATGGTACCGCAAGCGCATGCCCTATTCATACCCCAATCAAATCACCATTGAAAAAAGTCCAAGCTATTTTGTTACTTCCGAGGTATATATAAGAAGAAATAAAACATAATTTTATGGCAGGAAATATGAAAAAAAAAAATTTACTCTCATTTTATTATGCTATACAGAACGTAGTCTATGTATTCATTGTGCATTATATTGGTATGAACGTGCCACGAAGCTTGCACGGTAATTTAAAATAGATAGTATGTGAATCGAAGCGAATGCCTTTTGTGCATGTCAAATGAGCCAACGACACAGTGATATGTTAGTAGAATACATAGAATTAAGTACTATGATGTATAATTGAGGTTGTTGCGAGTGACACGCGATTTCGTGTATTTATTTCAATATGTTGTCTTTTGCAATTGGAAATTGTTTTATGATACTCTAATAAAAGCGTTTAAGTTTTTACTTATTCAAATAAACCAATTTAAATACACGTTCTATAGTTCCCTAAAAAATAATTAAAAGCATACCTTTCATAGTTTGATGGTGTTCATTATAATTTAAGTATATTTTATTCGATTCAAAGGTACATGATTAAAACATCAAAGAGAAAAACATTTCGTTTGTAAATTTTCAAAAACATGATAAAACGCAAAGCTAACGAATTATATTTATGCAACTGAAGTTGACGCGACATTATACTTTTTCAGTCAAACAACATTTCATCAATCATTAAAAAAATAAATTATACAATTATATCAATAAATTAGAGTTCTGTACAAATAATAACTTGAATAACCGTGTGTTATTGATTTATTACAGTTAGCAAAATATAATTTTAGCTAACGTGCTCTTATAAGTCAAAGTTTCGCACAACATTCATCAAAATTATAATAAGCGCAAAATATTAGGCACGCACTTTCTAGAGTATTTCATTGTTGTTATAGAAAATTTATATAATTACATTGTCACTCATTTTTATTAAACTTTTCTTTTATTGCCTAGGGACCATATAAAAATAATCTTAGCGATTTGGAGGAGTATATGCATAATTTTCTTAGTCTTATTCAAAAATAATTCTCCTTCATAATATAATAAAGATAATAAATAAATTACAGAATGACTTCACTGGTGAATAAACACACATGTTCAGTACCGTTTGAAAATGTAATATTTGGGAGATTCAAATTGCCTTTAATCAATCTATGATGTTATACCAGAAATTAAGATATTCAAGTAGACTAAATTTTGATAGTTTTTATATTATAAAAACTACTAATATCAACTTATTACAATCAAATTAGATATGTTATTAGTTAAAATATTAGTAGTTTTCGTTCACTGGCAATGTTCATTCATTGGGGTTGTCACCCTATTATAATTTTTTTAGTCATAAGGGATTCTATTCCCCAAATCCCCTAGAAAACGCCAATATACTGAAGTACATCTTGAAGTATGAAAATAATATGAATGCAAATTAATATCCACAAAATTAAATCTTATTATGATACATAAAATTTAAGATAATAATTTTGGTTCAACAAATAGTTTTAATCATAAAAAAATATTAATTTTTTCTACTGTAAACATGTTTTTTTTTGAACAGTTACAGCTACTGATGATTATGAACAAGTAACAACTGTACTTTGTAGTTATATAAAATTATAGCTTATGTTGACTTAATTGAGTCATCCATAGTATCAAAAACAATGCTAACTTTTTTTATATTTTAATAAAACATTGTAACACGCTCATTTTTCAGTCATTTTATCAATTATTATTGATGTTAAGCATACAAAATTATACCGTTGTTTTTGATCAAATCAATTAAATTATGAGTCTCAAATTATGATTAATAGTATAGTGAATATCAAAAAAATTTCAAAATCTCAAATAAATAAAATCCTTCAAACTTTTACGTATTAACTAAAATATTATTTTATTTTATTAAACTGAATTATTTAGTTTTTTCCGAAAAATTGATTGTTGCAACGATAGAACTCTTAGAGTTAAAAATTATAACTTTAATTTAAGTACATGGTTTGAAAACGATATTCGACAAAAAAAATTGAAAAAATTTCTATTTTTTTTTTTTTTT